ATTTCATCTGTTGGGTCAGGGAACACTGGTAGGGTAATGCTGTCTCAGAAAATTCACTTTCAACATACAACATTCAGTCATATGCTTGTCATTTTCTTCTTCATCAACAACAATAGCTACTTATATTAATATGACCTGTATGCACAGACAGTTATATTGTTTGTTGTTCCATTAACACATGAAGGTACAGTGTAGTTAGACAATGTACACCAAGTATAAGAATATCTTACTTTTTTTAGTTATTATGCATCAATGCATGATAGCCACCTTGTATAAGAAAAGCAAAATCTTTGCACTGAATCTAAAAAACAAAAAAAGGTCAGTTATACACCAACGAAAATGTGATTTTGCATGAACTGGCCAATTCCTTCTTTTCAATGTAAGCTATTTGCTTTCACCTGAATATATTTAAATGTATAAAGTAAACTTTTAGAGGATGGCCAAAGCACATACAACAACTTCTAGTTTACATTGTACATACTGTAAACTGCTGTGTAAGCCCAGGGTTTAGACATTCTTTGTAAGGGGTCTTGGGAGGGCTTGTAAATAGAGGGGTTTATATCTGATGGGGCTTATAACAGAACTAGAAAAAGAGCTGAGAAACAAACTAAGGCAGTGCTGATTACAATATGTTTTGTATTTACTGTTTTTTAATAAAGCTTCAAAACATCATAGTAAATGAAATTTATTTCAATAAATTTAGAGAGGGCTTATAAACAGATACCTTTTTTGATTGCAGGCATATAACTGGAGGGGGGTGGTTATAAGAGGTAGATTATGGTAGGTCTTGACATGAATGTATTGCACAGAATTACTGTTCACATTGTATGTTCAACTCATCTACTCTGCTCAGACAACTTAACTACTGCACACTGTAAACATAAAGTGTTAATCATTCCACTCAGACCAAAAAGGTAGAGAATACTTTTTTCTTCAGCATTCCATTGAGAAACTCAAAGCGAGCTGGGATTATTCTAGTCATCACAGTGGTTGAATGAAATTACTCCCTACAAGTGAATTGACTGGCCTGCCAAGATTAGCACTAGCTAACCCCTTAGCATTAGCACCAACAAAATGAGTTTTTTGGTCATATCCTACACTGTAGCAGTATTTCTATTACTTACAACCTGAAACCCAACCCTTGTACATGTATCTCAAATTGAAGAAATCAGAAATAAACAACCTTTGACACGATTTTGCATTCATATCTATTGTTTCTCGTCAGAGAACTTTTAACAAAAAAAGTTTTATCTCACCTGCAGGCAGGCAGCGGGGCACACAGGTACTCCAAGCAACATGATCGTTATTTGCAGTTATTTGTGATGCTTCACTTTTAACGGCGATGGAATTTGTTTTTCTCTGTCTCTTGCACGGAGTTTTCCTAGAAATATCACCAAAATGGACTTAGAAAACTGAAATTGTTAGAAAATTTTACGTCGAAAGAAACTCCGGATTGGTGTCATGTGTGTTCACTGAAAACCCACTCAGACAAAATATGTAGAGAATGCTTTTTTCTTCAACGCTTCCTTTATGAAGCTCAAAGCGAGCTGGGATTATTCTAGTCATCACAGTGGGTTTGGAGGACACCGAAAGGACAGAAAAAAAGGACAATTACAGGCATTAAAAACAGCTGAAAAAAATACGGGCTTACGTGGATTTACGTGGTAGATGTAAGGTTTAGCTTTCCAAGAGCATGACGTTGAAAACGCCTAATTCATGGCTATTTTCGAGGTTAAAGGTTCCTATCCTTTTTTCTTTTGCTTCTGGCAGAAAGTTTTGAGGTTTTGAAGCTAGGCTGGGAAGATTTCTCATCATAATGATCCAAAACCGCCATACCATGTGCTTTCCACCAAATGGCCGCACAACAGTGCTTCGCTAAGCATCCTGGGATCTAACTCGTCCTCGTTCTCCCGCTCGTAAATCGTAAAAGGCACCATCTACTTTTACAAAGGGAAGGGAACGGGAGGCGGGTCTTCTAGACCTGCTGGTCTCGGTCGCGCTGTAAGGGGAGGGGAGAACTCCAGATGAAAATGACCAGGCAGGATGTCCTATTTTAGAAGAAAGTTGGAAAACATTTTTAGACGGTGGGCAGGTTTGGATGAAGGATGCTGGTGATTTATCAGTCTCCTTTGATCTTCTTGGGTTTTATCTACCGAGCATCACCTCTTGATCCCTCTTCTCTGAGATAAGTACTAGATTATTGCCCGATGGCTTACCGCTTACTGTCGTTGCTGTGTTGATGTGCACAGATCTGAGATGATGTGCGTGCACACGATCGTCTTGTTGTTTGCGGGAATTGATACACGTTACGGTCGTTTATGCTAATATTAAATCTAATTCTTCATTCAATCGGCCAGTTAAATGTTGGCAGTTACACTAGCTAGCGTGTATGCTATTCCGTGCGTTGTTGATACTTCGTTGTATCTCGTGTTTCTACTTCAGCTAGTTGGATCGCTGGTGCCAACTAGCGCAAAATATCACTCGATCGATATTTGTATAGGTAATAGCATGATTAGTGGTGATATTTGGCATAAATACCACTAGTGATATTTCAAAATTGTTATACGTAATTTCACGAGCCGTTAGGCGAGTGAAATTTGAGACAACTTTGAAATATCACGAGTGGTATTTATGCCAAATATCACGTACAAAACATGCTATTATTTGTTTATACTACTACCCGCAAAAGGGTTGTAATTTTCACATGTAGGTATTTCAAATTAAGCTGAAATACTACTGCTCTAAGCCAATCAGATTGCAGTAATTTCTCATGTAGTGGTATAAAATTTGAAATATTTGTTTATACCAGCCCAGTAATGGATCCCTTTATTAATAATCTTAGCTGTGTTATGATTTGTAAAGGCACTTTAATTTATTGATATTCTGAAGTTATTTTGCACGTTTGAGCATTTTTGACCTTTGGACTCAGCTTACTTGTAACCTTTAATTATTATAAAAAAAAACAAAACAAAAACGATACATTATCCAGCCCTACCGGCTAAAACTTTATGTTCCATTCCCTCAACGCATTTACAAGGTGTTAGAAATTACATTGCAACCATTCTTAAAAGTTATCTCAGAGGTATGAGCATAATTTCATTAGGGTTATTGTGTGCTGTTCATAGGTCAGTTTTGTATGTCATGTTACGTGCTGTATCGTCAATTTGTTCTGTTGTTTTCCTTTACTCACTGTTGGCGACATTCTGTTGCCAGTGTTTTTCATTGTGAGGATTTGTTCCTCCACTGGAGTAGTTCTTTCATGGGTGTTAACTGTTGGATCCACCCTATTTTCTATGGTGCTAACTATTCAAGCCACCATGTTAGTAGCTTTCTCACGGGCGTTAACTGTTTGAGCCACCCAATTTATTTTATGGTGCTAACTGTTCAAGCCACCATGTTGTTAGCTTTTTCACAGGTGTTAATGGTATGGTGCTACTGTTCAAGCCACCATTATTCTTAGTTCTTTTATGGGTGTTAATTGTTTGAGCCACCCTATTTTAATTATATGGTGGTAACTGTTAAAGCCACCATGTTCTCAGCTTTTTCGCAGGTGTTAACTGTTTGAGCCACACAGTATTTTCTATGGTGCTAACTGTTCAAGCCACCATGTTCTTAGCTTTTTGGTGGGTGTTAACTGTTTGAGCCATCCAGTATTTTCTATGGTGCTAACTGTTCAAGCCACCATGTTCTTAGCTTTTTCACGGGTGTTAACTGTTTAAGCCATCCAGTATTTTCTATGGTACTAACTGTTCAAGCCACCATGTTCTTAGCTCTTTGGTAGGTGTTAACTGTTTGAGCCATCCAGTATTTTCTATGGTGCTAACTGTTCAAGCCACCATGTTCCTAGCTTTTGTGCAGGTGTTAACTGTTTGAGCCACCCAGTATTTTTTATGATGCTAACTGTTCAAGCCACCATGTTCTTAGCTTTTTCACGGGTGTTAACTGTTGGAGCCACCCTATTGTCTATGATGCTACTGTTCAAGCCATCATGTTACTAGTCTTTCTCGGGTGTTAATTGTTTGGGCCACCCTGTTTTGAACGGTGCTAACTGTTCAAGCCACCGTGTTGTTATTTGTTATGTAAGCATCAGCCACCCCCTTTTTATGGTGCTAACTGTTAAAGCCTCTGTGATATTCCTTCCCTCAGGGGTGATCAATGTTTGGGGCACTGCAATACTATTTATTTCATTGCAGGTTTATAATAATAATATTGTAAGGTCCTCCTCATAAATTATTCTATGTTAAAGCTTCATCCTCAGATTTTTATTGAAGCTGTGTCCTCATATTTTACATTGAGGCTTCATCCTACTATTTCATATTGGGGCTTTGTCTTCATAATTTATTTTGAGGCTTTGTCCTCTTAGGTTATTTTGAAACTTTGTCCTTGGATTTTAGCTTCAGGCTTCCAGTTCCTCATCATTGTTATGTAATATTATTGAGGCTATGTTCCTTAGTTCGAGGCTTTGGTCCTTGCTGTTGTAGACACATGTCGCTCTTGTTTGTACTGCATATTTGATTTGTTTGCAGGATATGTGTGTGATTCAGTTCCATTTGTATTTGTGTCTAGGGAAACTGACGCAAATATTATTTGGTTTGAATTTACCATTCTCATTCTTTACCTTTTATGCCAACTTTTTATTCTTTAATTGTGTAATCCACTGTTTTGGTTTACAGGTATATGCAGCTAGATTACTTTTATCTCTGGTTTTTGTTGACTCCCCAGTTTTGATCTGTGTGGGCATTATATTCCCATGTTTGTTGTGAGGGGACAAGAGGCTTATGCTTCCCTCACCACATCACATCATTACTTTTAAGTTTGTTGTTCTTTTTGAGGAGTTTACTGTTAATTCAGTTTGTTTTGGGGATTCTAATGGATTCATTGATGGTTTTTGCATTGTTTATTAATGGTAGCACATTCTAGCCTGTTTACAGAAGTTGTTTTTGTAGTTTTTCATTTTACTGCAGGTGCTAAGGTATACGCAGGGAGTTCCCTTTCACGGACACGTTTTCAATGAAGCGAGTGTTGGGCAGAGTTACTCTCTTGAGAGAGTCAACACCCTTAGCTCTGCATCCTCTGTGGCTCGTCAATTCAATTCAACATACATGTAGTTCTACATGTTCTGCTGGTCAGTTCTCCAGGAGTTGCATCTAATAGTGCGTCTCGTATGACGCGTGATCATTTAAAACTTGAACCCTAGAAATAGGGGTGGAGTATGCTGTGGAGGATTCTTGTTTTTGACAGAGCAAATGATCTTTGCCGATTGAGAGATCCTGAGGCCGGTGTGTTTCCTGTGCATTCCAGCATTGATTTCCTGTGGTCTTTGTCTCTGACAGAATTTGACCTCTGAAGCATTTGAGGGAATTCTTTGACCTCTTTTGGAGTATAAAGCTATTTATTGCCGCTAAATGATCGTTTATTAGAGAATTTAGTTTCTCAAGTTTGGAGTAACTGCAGCATACCCTGCCTGGAACCTGAGTAACTTTCAATAGATAGTTGTTTTGTTCGTCACTTGATTGTTACGCTTGGCTCGGCTCGTTTGCAGGTCGGTTTCGTATTGCACAATCTTGCAGATTTTCATTTTTACCAGTTACATCAGTGAGTTATTGCAGAATTGTTATTAGTATAATTCAGGGTGACTCTGTGAGCAGGGGCCATACAGCCATCTCACAGATTTCATTTTAATCAGCTACTGTACATCAGTGAGCTATATATTTTAGGCTTTTGATAAGAATAATTCTGTGCGACTGTGTGTGCAAGGGCCATACAGCCATCCCACAGATTTAATTTTAATCAGTTATTTTATGTCAGTGAGCTACATGTATTTCAGACTTTGATAAGAATAATTCTGTGTGACTGTGTGTGCAAGGGCCATAAAGCCATCCCACAGATTTCATTTTAATCAGTTATTTTATGTCAGTGAGCTATTTCAGACTTTGATAGAAATAATAATGTGTGACTGTGTGTGCAAGGGCCATAAGGCCATCCCACAGATTGCATTTTAATCAGTTATTTTATGTCAGTGAGCTATTTCAGACTTTGATAAGAATAATTCTGTGTGACTGTGTGTGCAACGGCCATACAGCCATCCCACAGATTTCATTTTAATCACCTACAAGAGTGAGCTATTTCAGACTTTTGATAAGTATAACTCTGTGTGACTGTGTGTGTAAGGGCCATAAAGCCATCTGACGGATTTCACTTTAGTCAGTTACTGTACATCAGTGAGCTATTTCAGACTTTTGATAAGTATAATTCTGTGTGACTGTGTGTACAGGGGCCATACGGCCATCTCACGGATTTCACTTCCATCAGTTACATCAGTGAGCTATTTAAGTATAGGACAATTGATTATGTTTGATAATACAAGGTTGAAATTTAATTTGGATTCCTTTTTCCTTCCTTCAAAATTATTTTCATTGTCAATTTTGTTATTATTAGCTGTTTAAGAATGTCCATTTTTGATTGATTATGGGCAAATAGTATTAACACTGTACTGGTATTAGCCTTAGTTGGTTAACGTGCAGGTGTCAACTCAATTTAGTGCTAATCCTGGATTATTTCAATCTGACTGAAAAACCCGTAGGTCTGGCAATTGGGACCTGGTGATAATTATAATCCAATAGGGGCAATTAAGCACTCTCATTCATTTAACCTACATAGCTACACTTGTACATTTTGCTTCTAGATTACTAAGGTTTTTTTCGGTGGTTCTCTTGCTTTGGCCTCGGGTGGGGCTGCCCTGTCACTCGTTTCTTGCTCCGGGCTGTGGCGGGTGTGCCCTCACCTTTGCTGGGATAAATCTTCTTGTGTATCTGGACTTTCCTAGCTTGANCTGTTAAAGCCTCTGTGATATTCCTTCCCTCAGGGGTGATCAATGTTTGGGGCACTGCAATACTATTTATTTCATTGCAGGTTTATAATAATAATATTGTAAGGTCCTCCTCATAAATTATTCTATGTTAAAGCTTCATCCTCAGATTTTTATTGAAGCTGTGTCCTCATATTTTACATTGAGGCTTCATCCTACTATTTCATATTGGGGCTTTGTCCTCATAATTTATTTTGAGGCTTTGTCCTCTTAGGTTATTTTGAAACTTTGTCCTTGGATTTTAGCTTCAGGCTTCCAGTTCCTCATCATTGTTATGTAATATTATTGAGGCTATGTTCCTTAGTTCGAGGCTTTGGTCCTTGCTGTAACGTGAGCTTGGGACGCCTGTGCCCAAGTTTATAAAGATTTGTATGGTGACGCCATGTTGTTGCCCATCCGGATATGCACCATCATGGCGGACGGAAACTAACAGAAACATCTGTTACCGAGTTTTGCCACAAAAAAGCAAGGAACTCATAAACATTAAAGTAATACTTTTTCTAATTCGAAAAAGCCCTCGAAATAAATCACTTTTTTAACCTACACTGACAGCTCTCTCTGCCGTCATGTTTTTGTTGCGTCACGCAAAAGCTTAGAAATTCAAGCGTACTCTATCACAAAGCGAAGAACTTTTTGAAGCGAAATTTTGTATGAAAGTTATTTTTTAGCTGCTCTAATACATTACGAGAGCAAAATCTCAGTAGGATCTATAGCTTTGTAGTTTTGATTTTACGAATTAAAATAGCAACTGTCACACATCTTTAAAAGACGTAAAACAACTGACAAGTGTTCTTCCGCGCGGGTCAGGATTCAAACATGTTTCTGGCCTCGCCAGTGGCCTCTGTTTCACTTTCACTTCTTGCGCTTTAAATTCTTCCTTACTTCTGGATCAGACGCTGAACGCTTCGCTTGTACATTCTTGCTGGCCCTCATTTCAAAACAGGATAAATCTTTGTCTTTTATATAACTTCTGATTACGTTGTAAGACAGTTCTCCTCCATGACTACTGTCTATTGCTTCCCCGACAACAATGGTCTTCACACCACTCAGTTTGACCATTGGAGCACATTCATCACAAGGGCTTTTCGTTACAAACAGAACTCCATCCGTTAAATCTTTGGTGTTCCTCACCAGCAGAGCGTTTTGCTCAGCGTGAATGACGTAAGGAAACTTTGTCTCCGGTGCTTTATCATCATCTGAAGCGCGTGGAAATTCGCCATACAAAGCTTTCGATGGAAATCCATTCCACCCAAGGCTGACAAACTCCTTCCCTTTAATTAGTACTGCACCGACGCCTTTTTTAGGGTCATCAGTCTGCCGTGCAAGCATCTTTGCAAAAATCATCATGTGGGAAGCTAAATCCTGGTCAGGGTACTCTTCATCATCATTAGCACGTTTCACGCTTGGCTCTCCGCCATCATCACCAATGATTTTCACCTTTTGGAATACAATTCCTTTGTCTATCGGTGCTTTAACAACGGCGATCCATTTCATGAGAGATTTAAAATCCTGCTCAACTTGAGTTTTCATTTTGTCATCCAGGCTTGGCCAAGGAAGGCAACTTTGGGCACGCGTAATCCACTCGGCGCCCCACCATTCATTGAAGAGTTCATCGCGACAAACGCTTATGTCCTCCGGTGTGATCTCTTCTGGAAGCTTCTTCTCGTCGTTGGTCAAGACCTTTTCCTCCACACAAGGGACAAAGATAGATTGGCCCACTGGACTTACTTTGAAGAGATTATCTACTCTTTCCAATTCCTTCTGGCTTTCTGATTCTGGTTCTATTGGAAGGTAGAACACACGGGAAACTCTCGACTGTACGAGGAGTTTGGCACATACGGAACACGGTTTCCGAGAAATGAAGACTTTGCAACCTTCCAGCTTGCCAGAATGATTGATCATCACTCTTGCAACGCCATGAACGCCATCCCGACTGCAATCGGCTGCAAGTACGCGATCGTTCGGAAGGACAAAAATGACACCGACTTTCTTGAAAGAGCTTTTTGGAGATTGTGAAGGAAACTTCTCCATCCAAAGAGCTAAAACCATATAAAGGTTCTCTTTTGTGATCCTAGTCTCTCGTTTTTCACATTCACTTCCCTTTGGTTCGTCTTGTGATGATCGGCGAGTGTCGAGTGTGCTTGATGATGCCATCTGCCTTGGCTTATTTTATTTGAGTGCCAGTTTCTGCCGCTTCTAATTCCTTCACTGGAGTGGAGATACTGAGCAATAATCATATCCAGCTGAATATATAAGGCAATGAAAACAATAGATAAGATTTTAAATTGGTTATTTCCCTGCATTACGCAAAGAATCACCTTGTTTTTTGCCCTGGTATATTTTTAGATCAGAAGCCTGCCGGCGTGTTTCCCGGAAAAACTCTTTTAACTAGCCTATTATTGGTGGTTACTTAGAAACACCAATATAATGCTTTTTAACAAAATATCTGATGGGTTAGTAATCTGTTTCTATATACGACAAACAAGTTGCTTTGTTTGCAAGTGTCATGGTTAATAAAGCATTATTCATTTTATTTGCATGCATCGCTGGGGCTCTTGCTTGGAAAGATGAAAAAATTCTGTATCCAAATTTCTAAGAATACTTAACCTGGTGTATCATCAGTCGGGTTTTTCCCACATACGTCACAACTTTAAACATTCGATTGATTGTCAGCTAATATATATATATATATATATATATATATATATATTTCTTACGTGCTGATAGATCGGTCTACTAGTTCATGTTCTTAATTCATGACGTACATAATTTTTTTAACGGATTTCTCACGAACACTGAGGGACTTTCGGGATGAATAAAGACAAGTTCTTTCAACTTGTCTTTAAAAATGTTTGTTTCATTTTCCATTTACTGACGTTACCATCAGTGAACCGTCTGATGCTGCTAATGTTTCGGTTTAGTTAATTAAATGGGTTATACATTTCAGGGAAAAAAGTGTGTTGGGAATGAAAAGAATTGGAGTAGTATTTTTTGGAGGGATTTCTCAGGAGCGCTGAGGGACTTCCGGGATGAATAATTTGCAGTTCTTTCAACTTGTATTTAAAAATGCTTGTTTCATTTTTCCATTTACTGACGTTACCATCAGTGAACCGTCTGATACTGCTAATGTTTCGGTTTAGTTAATTAAATGGGTTATACATTTCAGGAAAAAAGGCGTGTTGGTAATGAAAAGAATTGAAGTAGTCTGGTTATTAAATAATAGTATAATGTATATATTTCAAGTAATAACAAGCTACGTAACAGGTCTGTAACCTTTGACCTGTGTAATCCTTTCAAACGGAATTAATTTGCATTGACCACTTTGCTTGTTTTGTCGTATCCCGTTGTCTATAACGTGGGCTAAGCCTCAACACATAATAATAATAATACCTTTATTTATTGCCTTTGGCGATAAGAATTACGGTAATATTACAATAAAAATTCAAAACACTACATATTATAATATTATATACATATCAAATTAAGTTAAGTTTAGGAATAAACGATTGTTTGTGCCTAACAGTGCGGATACAGGTATTCTGAGGTGCGCTGGGTTAGTCTTACAAGATCTTAGATTATGGCCATGATCCACTGGTTTGTCTAAAAAACGTTTGCAGAGATGTGCCTCTGATTCTAGGGTACGTTCAAATTCTTTCCTCGTCAAATTCTGACGCCTAGTTACAAGTGACTCAACAGTATCCCAAGGGAGACCAATGACATTTAAACATCTATTCTGCACTCTCTGTAGATCCTCTTCGAGGTAAATGGGCAGCCCTTCCCAGACAGGCGAGTAATATTCTAAAACAGGTCTAATCTTAGTGATATGTAAGTTGTAAGACTAATGTCCCTGGGAAGATGGGCTGTTCTACAGACCCTAAGATAGTGGATCCGTTTACACGCTTTGCTGACAATACTTGAGACATGTGTATTCCACTTGAGATCGTTCTGTACGTATACACCCAGTAGTTTAAACTCTGATACCCTCTCCAGTTCAGTAGGCCCGATATTAATAGGAGCAGGATTGGACTAGTCTGCCGCACAGCCGTTTTTAGTGTGGTCACGCAACGCTGTGGGGAGGAGAATTGCGTGACGACACTAAAAACGGCTGTGTAGCAGACTAGAATTGGACAGGATTTTTTGATTGGTAGAGAGACACAAAATCCCGTTATGAAAGGAAGTGTGCCACCATGCAGCCGGGGGGGGGGGGGGACCTGGGGGTATTTTTGGGGGGGGTTGGCGCGCCGGGGGTCACAAAATACAACCCCGTTTTAAAAAACAATTCCCCAAAAAATATACCCCCCTTTAAAAAATAGCCGAATTTTTTACTCACCAATTTAAATATCCACATACTATCAAATTGGCACCCCGTTCTAAAAAAAATTTCCCCTAAAACTGATACCCCGTTCTAGAAATAGGCCAATTTTTTATACCCCGTTTTAGAATTCGCCCTAAAACTGATACCCCGTTCTAGAAATGGGCCAATTCAGTTATACTCCGTTCTCAAAAAAAAGTTTTTAAATTGAAATAGCCCTGTTTTTTAAAAAGATATTTCTTTATTTGTTCGACTTATACATCAAATAAATGCTTCTTCATAATCAGCAACAATTTTAAGCAAAAGGTAAAGCCGTGATGCACAATTTTTTATACCCCGTTCTAGAAAACACCTCTGAAATGGATACCCCGTTCTAAATCAGGAGCTTTAAAATCACGACCCCGTTGGGCGGCACATACCCGTATAGGTAATGTATGGGAGTACCCCCCCCCCACCCCCCGGGCCATGCAGATCCAAAATCTTAAATTATTCTATATTTCGTTTTTTTTAAGTTTAACTTATATTTTTTTCGATCATTCAAATATTCACGACAAACGTCAATATAATTACGTGAATAATTATATACTTCAAATTCATCTTTAAAGTTTAACAAGTTGGCTTTCTCATCCATTTCTTTTATTCTAAAAATTATTTTGTTTTTAGATTTAATTTTTTTTACCTCAACTAAAAATCTTCACGGCTTATCTAAACTAAAAGCGCTGGTTTTAGAAAAAAGCTGTGAGTTTTTTACCATGTATTTAATTTGTCTTTCACGAGAATTATTAATTTTTATGAGAAAAAGCAATAGGTTTTCGAGTGTAAAACAAAACGCGTAATACGTCATCGCACGGGATAAGAAACTATTACATGACTGTGACTGATTAGGAATGCTATTGAAAGTTGTGCGCTATCATGTCCAAAAAAGCAAACAAAAACATTTAACAAAGGAGTAAAACGGGTTTCACAACCATTCCACTTTAATAACTAGTATGATTTTACAACTTATTAGACCTTATTATTACTCTTTTAAATTAATGGTAACGTTGTTTTCAAGCTGATGAAGTTGGATTTGGCATACGATCAAACATACAGTGTATCTCCGAATCAGTTCTCGGGGCTTTGTGCTTTAATATCCGACATGTAATCAATCCCAAAATGTTTCTCAAAGCCGTTGAATTTCCGCAACACACACAAAAAACAAGATAATGATTTGATAAAATGCGAACTCTGAAATATCATTTTTGGGTATAGTTTCGAGGCAAGTTCCAACTCTTTCACATTGCAAGGCATTTCATTATTCTATCTGCAGATGTTGTAACTAAATATTTCATAAAGTAGCCACCTATATTTAAATTAGTACTTAGGTCTAACATGTACAGTTGTTGTCGCCTGCAAGCAAAATCGTCAGAAATGTAGATTGGTAGAGAATATCCAGATCAGATGCTAATGTTTTGTTTTCTTGTCTGTTAAGCAGTAAGGAAATAATAATAATTCTAAATAAAACAATCTGCCAAATTTTCTCAGTTTCAGACAAAAGTCGAACAAAAGCACGTATGTTTTCGATAATCGGAAGTAGATTATGGTACGTCAAGAGAAGAAACGTATTCCTTTTTCTAAAATATATTGGATACTAAGAAGATAACTGAGGTCAGTACTTTGCTGTCTAAGACACACATCCGACGTTCATAATTTGCGAAATGCACCTTTGTCATTCAAAAGTGCGTTGAATGGTGTTGAATCCGTTGCTGTTGGCTAGTGGCATGGCTATTATTGAAAATGGTTTTTAGCAGGAGGGTGAAATTAATATCTTTCGCATGCGCAGTAAATACTAGCCCCTGGCAAAGCAACTGCAAGGCAGCTGTCTATCAATGATTTAAATTTCAATAACTTTCCAACCCTGATTATTTGCCTTTATATTTGCTTTTTGACTGCTTCACAACCAGCACTACAGCTCACTATGACAAACTGTCAACGGCTGGCTTTTCATCATTTAAAATCGCTCCGCTCCTATACATTCGCTTCTGATCTAGTCCTACAACAAATACAAAATAAAATAAGATGTATCATAGGCTGCCACAGCACGAAAGTCAGTTACAGCTGGCAACAGAACCAAACAAATAATCAAGTTTTGGATTGGTTAAGAGCGTCCGAAGCCACTGCCTGTTCGGTCAGTATCTAATGCAATCGAGCAACTCCCCACTCGCAACCCAATCTGGTAAGGCACGTATCTGATAAGACACCGCCCGCAATACCGAATTGAAGACTAATACGTCAATATTTCACTTAAACTCTATGTAGTAATATTTCCGACAATGAACACCTAGACAGGTGTAAACACGGGAAAAATTAAGGCCATTCACCTCACACATGACCCACATACAAGAAGCGCATATAGTACATTGGTCCAGACGAAAGTAAATTTTAAATTTTACGTGGGAAACATAATGTAGCAATCAGGTAAGTGTGTCTTCATATCACAGTATAGCAACGCTTGAAATTTTTCGATGTCAGACGTCGTCAAATTATCACAAACAAAGTAAGGTCCTTGTCAGTCTCTTTTAAAAGCGGAACATTTGGCGAAAGTTGTAGACAAGGGCTAGGTGATCACCTACTACAGGCTGCCATAAAAAAGACTCGCAGAAGAAATGGGAGCCCGAGGGAGACTGGACACCAAGTCTAACCTATAACAAAAGCGAATTTTAATAACGGTATTCTTTTTCCAAAGACGTCCGCAAACTTGTCTTGGATTTCTCGAAGTAGTGGTTGCGATGGTTGCGAGTGTGGTTGCGATTAATCGGTAATAGCGGTTTTAAAGACAAAAGGAAACTAAAGGAAATGGGCATTTCTTGAAAGATAAGGAAAGAGCTACCATCATATACAACAAAAGGTTTTATATTAGACTTAGTAACACAATGTGTGATAAAAACTACATGATAAAAAAAATATACATCATTCTAAGATTGAAAGTGTTCTAACTGTGACCTTGGAAAGTAAAATTAATATTAAGCATATCAATAAGTTTGGAGTCATCCCGGGGGGGGGGGGGAGGTATCCCCTATATAAGCCACATAGGTATAGGTGCCACCCAAAAGGGTAGGGGTCTGAAAACGGGTATAGACTTTGCATATTTTGGTCTGGTTTCGAGGGAACTACGGAAGCGTAAGGAGCTGACTATTGCTTCAATTCCAACTGACATAGAAAGAATGATGATATGCAAATTTGAAATGAATTTTAAGAAATC